GGGGGGGGGGGGGGGGGGGGCAGAAGGGACAGAAATGTGGCTGGTGCAGGTCCCCGACTAACGTGGGGGCGGGGAGGGACTCGGGACAGCCATGCGTTCGCCAGGTCCGTGAACATGCTTCGGCACCCGGCCCTCCCCCACATCCCGGCCCCTTCGCGCGCCCGTGGAGGCCCGGGTCCGGATCTCGCACGGCTCCCCACCCACTGGCCCCTCCCTCGCCCTCAGGCAGCATGGCACCCTCCCAGACCCAGGAAGGCACAGGCTAGTCCTCGGGCGGCGCGCATGAGCCCCTGGGGGCTGGTAGCAAAAAGGCCATCGGCCACAGCTGCGAGGGATGCATGTGTGTTCTCCGGTGGGACAAGCCTCGGTCAGTCCGGGCAGATCGGGTGGCCACACCCAACCCGCGCCTCGGGTGCTCGCGTCGTTTCTCCGCGACCTCCGGCGAGGGTGGGGGCACCTCAAGGTGGGTGATGTGCCACGGGTGTCCCTGCTTGCTCCCCGCCCCCCCCCCCCCTGTCTTGGCCAGCCGGGCGAAGCAACTCCGGGACCAGAGCCCAGCCGATAGACACTGCAGGGGTGCCCCGCATGGATCGCGTGTTTTGACTTCGGCGTGATCATTTTATCACATGCGATGTCCATAAATGTCTCTCAGCCGTTCGTTGTCCTCTCCCCCGCCGCCCCCCCGCCGCCCCCCGCCCCTTCTCTCCGGCCTCTGGCTCCACCGGTCGCCCGTGTGTGGGCGGGGGAGCAAGGAACCAGGCGAGGCATGGTCGTTTTTTTCCGGGCCCAGCCAACTGACCGAGGAGTCTCCGTCCTGTCTGGATCCGGCTCTCGTTCTCAACGCCGGCCGTCAGGGACAGGTCCTGATCCGACGGGTCTTCTCATATCATTGCTGTTTCTCTGCTCATTCCCCGCGACCGCAATTGAGCATAGTTGCTCGCTTCCCTCCTCTCCGCAGACACACACACACACACACACACACACACCTGCTCAGGCTTGCTTGTGTTTGACTGCCTACTCCGGGCGAGGTCACATTCTCTTTTGCGGCTCCCACTCCCGTCCCTGTGAACAACAGGCCATCCTTACCCCCGGCTGCCCTCCGCCCCCCACTCCCCCCACCCCCTCCTGTGGATGCCTGCCGCCAAGCCAGGTGCCACGGTCGTGCGAGTTCCGCCCGGGCACACCCAAAAGGGCCCCTTCGCCTGGTGTGCTGTGTATTTGTCCCCGCCTCGGGCCCTCTCCCCCGCCCCTTGCCCGGATCGCCTCTGCAAGAAAATCCAGAGACAAGCATTTCCCCTCCCCCGGGGGAAGACATGGTCGCAGGTGCTGGGAGATTCGGCCCTCGAGCAAGTGACAGAGCTTCAAGCGCTGATTGATCATACCGAACGCCAGGACAAAAAAGAGCTGCATATCTCAGCCGCTCCTCTTCTTGGCGGTTAGGGACTTTTGGAGCAACGGATGGATAGGAAAAGATATCGCAGGCACAGGGGGAGGAGAGAAGGGCAAATAGAAGCCGACTTGCCACCGCACACACGCACACACAGACAGACAGACAGACAGACAGACAGACACAGAGGGCCATGGGAGAGAGTGACAACAGACATTTGCATAAAGAACACACAAAGAGGGGTGCTTTTTTGGCGGGTTCAATTTAATGTTTGAAAGAGGGACACAAGAGAGATAAAGGCCGGCTATCCAACATCCAGAGAAGAACTGGTGGGGTGTTGAGGACGACAAGGGGGAGGAAGCGCGCGCGCGTGCTGCTGCACAGGCGCGCGCGGCCCCGCACAACCACAAAGTGAGAATACATCGCTCCTGACACATACTCACACACACACACACACATACTCACTCCCCCTTTCCCCAGGGCCAGGAAGGAACGACGCGCGGGCGTGTGACGACTAAGGGGAGAGAGAGAGAGGATCTGGAGAGAAGAAGGTCTCATTTTTTGGAGGGAGGATGTTGTGTGGGAGGGGAGGAGGGGAGGGAGAGGAGGGATGTGGGTCGGGGAAAAGGACAAAAGAGAAAACACGCGCGAGAGAACCCCGGGCGCGTGGCAGTGAACCATACATACACACACACGGCCACACCGCACGCAGCAGCACACCCACACGCACGGACGCAGAACACATGGAGAGAAGAGGGCAGACGAACAGGAGGAAGGCACACGCGAGCAAGACATGTGCGCGCGCGAGGCCAGGCCTCCTCTCTGTCTCAATGTCTGCACATGTGTCGTCACGGGCGCGCGCGGGCATGGAGAGGAGTGCGGCGAGCTGTGGGCTCTCTCTCTCTCTACTTCTCTGTCGGGTGTGGGGAGGAAGCATGTGCCATCCGAGGGGGGGGGGCAAGAGAGAGGAAAAGAGGACGAGGCGGAAAGGAAGAGAGCAGTGAGGGGAGGAGATCAACCCCAAAGACCGCACACCGAACACTCTCGCAGACTCAGAGCCTGGTCACGTCTGTCTCTTTCAAGCACATACATACACGCCCCATGGCGGGAGGAGAGAGGGAGAGAGAGAGAGAGAGGAGGGGAAAGCGTGGGCGCTTAGAGGAGGAGGAGGCTGTCGTTGAACTCCTTGAGCTCGGCCTTGAGCTTGGCGTTCTCCTCGATCTTCTGGTCGAGCTCACGCTCGAGAGCCTCGCGCTCGCCATCAAGGATGCGCAGGCGGCGCTCGTTCTCGTCGGCGCGGTGCTCGGCAGCCTGGAACTGCTCGGTCTTGTCGCGGAGGTTGTCCTCGGCGGTCTCGAGGTCGCGCTCGAGGAGGGAGATCTTGTTGAGGAGACCGGAGTTGGCGCGCTCTGTGTGATGTCACACGGAAGTGGGAAAGAGACAGAAAGAGAGAGAGAGAGAGAAGAAGGGATGAGGTGTTAGAGCAAGGAAGAGAGAGAAGGAGAGAGGAGGGGCGCGTGCCACCACCACCACCACCACAAGCAGAGGGGGAGAAAGGGCAAAGAGGAGTACGCACTGTCGTCGTCGTTCTTGCCGATGGTCTCGTTCATGTCGTGGATGCGCTCCTCGGCGCGGTCGAGGTCCTACATCGGGAGAAAGGGGGAAGGGGGAGAGCGGAAAGGTGAGTTTTACGGCTCCAGGAGACGAGGGAGGGACGGAGGGCTGAGCCGGTGAAAGAACAGCGAAGGTGGGATACGAACCTGCTCAAGGAGAGCAATCTTGCTCAGGAGGACCTTGTTCTCGTTCTCGAGAGTGCGGACCTTCTCGGTGGCCTCGCGGTACTTCTCCTCGGCAATCTCGGCGCGCTCAACGGCGTCGTCGACGTCGAGCTTAAGCTTCTCAATGCGCTCACGAACCTTATCCATGGTGAAAAAAGTGAAACGGGAAGGTAGTGTAAATCTAAGCAACAAGGAGAAGAGAACGACGGAGGGGGGAGGAGGGGGGGAACAGGCAAACAGAGAGACAATAGGTTAGCATCGGAGGGGAGGAGCCGGGGAAGGGAAGGGCGAGGGAGGATCAGGGCGCGGGCAAGAGAAGGCCGCCTGCGGCGGTGCAGGGAGAAAGGAAGAAGAGGAAGGGGGGTCGCGAATCACAGTGCCAAAGGCCAGCACAATGTGCTGGGACTGCTTTTCGGGCGCTTTCTCGGCCCGCCGCCTCGCGCGCCTTTTCCCTCCCGGAGAAGGACCGGCAAGAGGCGGAGAAAGAGAGCGAGGAAGAGCGGGAGAGAAGCACATAAGGAAGAGTGCCGCGAAGGGGGGGGGAACAAAAACGAGCGCGGCGGGCGAGCTGTACAACACAGAGGAGGGAGGAGGGGGAAGAGAGGAGGAGGGGGGAGAGAGGAGAGAGGAGGAGGAGGGAGACGAACCAATACAAAGGCATGCGTACGCGAAAATACACGTATGCAATTCGGTAAATTTACACCAAGGTGCCTTCAGTCAAACACGCCCAAATATATCGCCCGGCACCACAGCCAAGCCAGGGGACCCTCCCCCGAGAGGCGACGAAACAGAGACCGGGGCCAAGGGCGCACGACACCCGGCCGGCGAGACACCTCGTTCAACGCATCGAACTGGCCAAACGTGCTAGGGCGCGGCCGGCGGCCGGCGTCTCCGCTCACCTGGGGGATGCCCCCCCCCCCCC